TTATAAGAATTTCTTTGTCTTGATATTAATTTCAAGAAAAACTAAGCACAGTGTAACGGTATTACAAAAATCTGGATCAAATATTAAATGTCAATAAATTTTAAAAATATTTAGACAATCTTTTGAATTTTTTTTTTTTGGATAGCGTTTGAGGGTGTTTTATATCTAGAACCACCAAAATGTTATTATATTTTTAAGAAGAATTTTTTTCGTGAAGAAAATTTCTGTGCAGATTTTAAAATTTTAACCAGCAAACAGTTGCTATAAAGCATTAAACTCAGCTTCAGACTTTCTACAAAATAATTAAGCCTCTGTGGAGTAAGACACGTAAATTGGAAAAGTAATTGAAATTAATTCAGAGTAGCTAAAAAAACTAAATTAATTCCAAAAATATTATTCCTTCGGTCAATATCTTAAAAATATATCTAAAGTGTTGTGTGAAAATTTCAAGTCGATCGGTCTAGCCGTTTTGGAGAAATTTTCGTTTTAAGTATTGAAAGCCGATTACACTAACTAAAAGAATTCTTACAAATACGCTCACATCTCCAAAGCTAGTTGCATCAACTACAAATTATCGGAGAACATTATCAAAAAGATATATATACATACATATATCTATATGTGAATATGTATTTCTGAAATTCACAAGTGGAGATAACCCCTCAAGTGAAAGCGGAGCTGAGTTTGCTATAAAATTACCAAGTGTTATTAAACACTTCCGATATATTTTGGCTAGCCGACTTACATGCCGAGTTAGACCACAGTGCCAGCGAGTGAAGACATTATCCAGGCAGGCAGACAACTAGCTGAATTCTTAACGCCAAACGGTGCGTCGAACTCGGTTCGCCACCCATTTAATGGCCATATACTGTTTGCAAGTCTCATGCAGCGCTGCAGACGCTTGCTTATACATAATGCTTGCGCACATTTTTATTGTCTACATTTCTAATTTATTTTCAATAAATTAACAAAGAAATGCCAAAAGTAAGCGCCAATACTGGCAGATGCTTAGCAATTGCTGGGGGTGTGTGGTTAATTTCCAATTGGATAAAGAAATAAAGTTAATGAATGTAATTAAATTTTAAAGTCAATAGACGTTTACTTATAAAACTGAATCAATATAATTATTTCTTACACTGTTGAATCATTAGCAAATCGAAATTTGTCTGTAGAGTAAGGGGACTTTCCACAAAAGTGGCGGCTAGAAGCAATTGTAGCTGTTTTATAGATCGAAAAGCGTAGAAATTTATTAAAATTAAGAAAGTGGTTCAGTGGATTACTTATGGCTTCTAGTAGAGATGGTCGTTAGTGTTTTAAGGCTTTAAATTAGTGGTATTGGATGTCTATGCGCAATTTTTCGTACTTTGACTAGACAAAAGTCATAAAATGTAGGAATATTTACCGTTATGGTAACTCTCTACTGGCAGTAATCGATTGGAATGATTTTTCGATATTTTTATAACCTAAACAGGGTATATTAAGCCTGCCACGAAATTTGTAACATTCAGAAGGAAATATGTACATAAATGATCAGCGTGATGAACAGCGTCGATTTAACCATGTCCGTCTATATATATATACGCGAACTAGTCCTTCAGTTTTTGAGCTATCGTTCTGAAAATTTTCACACTTGCTTTTCTCTGCCATACAAACTAATCGAATAAAATCAAGACCTTGTATTAAAAACTTTTTTTATTTGACAAGGTATCTTTACGAAATTTGGCATGAAACAAATTTCTTAGATCGGACGAATATAGCATATATGTATCTGCTATACAAACTGACTGATCTAAATCCAGTTCTTGTATGGAAATGAGCATGTGAAGGCATTAACAATTTATTCAGTTGAATTTACTCCCTGAAAGCGTCATCATAATCGTTACTATGATATCTCTAGAAAGCCAGCCAGTAATGAATTTATACCAGTTTCGCGTTGAATTGAATTCACTCCGTGGAAGCCGTATAAAAGTGATATAATCATTTATTATAATATCGCTAGTATGCCAGTACCGCGTTCGATTCCGATCAAAATCAAGGTTAATATATTTGTATGCCACATGTAATATACTTGTGAAGTGTATTAGAGCTTTGATGCAGCCGAAATTAAGGATTTTTCATGTTTCAGAAAAATTCGTCTCTTAAAAATTACTATTTTACTACTCGACAGCTGAGAATAGTACCCACTCTCTTGTGCCTCTGGGAAATCAAAAATAGAGTGAGCAGAAATCGCCACAGAATAAGCGCTGATTTGTATGTAGATACTTGTATATACACAAATATATTCGCTTAAGTTGTAATGAAAAGTTTCAATAATTAATTATAGAATTTTTAATTTCCTACCGCACCGTTATGTGTAGGAAAAGCTTGCAAAGCGAAGAAGCAATGGGCGCTCATTCAAATGCAAGCTGCTGCCACCCCTTTAAGTTGATTTTATTTAATTTTTATTTCACATTTCATTTAATAATGAGCTTTGAGCGCGGCACTTCGCGCGATACGCAATTTATTCGCCCTTTATTTTAAAGAAATTATTTGTGCATACACACACACGTGAAAAACGCATGTATACATGCAAATAAATAAATATGTAAATGCTGGCAATCGCAATATAAATCCGCACTATGCGCCCTATTTTTGATCTCCTTTCACTTCAACTTCGCGCTACACTGGTGTCCTCCCGTCTTAACCATCCGGCTGTGCTTCGTTAGGCCGCGCTTAACTCAACGTATAAATGCATTTTTATTAAAAATTACGGCATTGACGCATATTTATTGTAAGTGCATAACAAAGTAGGCGCATTCAAATGGCAAACATTTTATTATTCGCCGTTTATGCATACAAAGTAGGAACAAATAAAATGTAAAAATATTTGCAAATTTACTTAAATTGTTCAGGTAATGATTTTTCAATTATAAATAGACATATGTACATTATAGACTAAAAAAATTACATAAATATATATATTTATTTCATTTTCCATTGCAAGTGGCTGCAGGAGCGGCGACGCAGCGCGAAATTAGCCGTTGCGAGTTTTTGTTATTATTGTCGTTTTTTCGCAAATTAGTTAGTAATTTAATGTATTGTTGTTTTTTTTTTTATTTGGTTTTTGTTTAGTTGCAATTGTTGAAGTACTTAGTTATTCGCCATTTATTTATGTAAATGTGAAATTGAAAATTTGCATAGCACACAAAGTAACTCAAGCACACACAGACGGAGACTTACGCGTGCCTGCGACCGCAGCCAAACACTCAAGTTTGCCTAACACACACACACGCACGCACACATATGTACATGTGTAAATTTGCAAGTTTGTAGGGACCTATTCACCTGCGTGCCGCGGCCCAGCTGCAACTTGCTTAAGCGCTACTTGAGTGCAGCCTAGTGCCCCACATGTCCGTGACAGACGTGCGCCAGCTCTCTAACCCCATCCCCCGCCACCCTGCACGACACTTACGAAGCAAACGGTATTTGCTCAGCACACACACCCATGAATATAAGGCGCACACTAAGTTGCAACAACAAACAAACAGACAGTCAAAATTTGTGGCTGACAGTTAGTAAGAGCGTCACAGTCAGTCGCGCAGTTAGCTGATTTTCTAATCAGCCTAGAAATTCAGTCGCTTGCCTAGACTTGAAATAATTTTTCATTTTATGTTAATGACAAAATTGCATAATGAATTTAATGTAAGTGCGTACACACACAAACACACATACATGTGCAGGCAAATACATGTGTACTCGCCTCAATAATAATAATAACAACAATGCATATGCATGTGTGTGCTTGTGTTTGTGTAAATGTCTTCAAAGTCGAATAATGCCATGCAAATGGAGTAAATATTGACAGAAGAACACATGATTTCTATTTATTTAGCAATTTATTTGATTTTTACTTTGTTTTATGCAAATTAAATTACGCATTTATGATTTAAGCTTCATTGTACATAAATGTGCATTTTAACTCACTAATTGCGCTATCAACAGATTGTCAATGTGCCTTAATTGAAGGTAAACTCAATCGCCATAAAAATATTTTTATAAGAATTGTACTTAAGCTTTTCTGGAAAGCTTCATTACATATAGATTACAGTTACGATAGCGGTAGCAGACAGTAAGATCGCACGAACAGCAATATCACCTACATTTTAACGGTTTACTCACAAACAGCTTGCAGAGTGGCGAATCGAACGCGCAACGGGTATAATTACAATGAACCGGCTTACTAGAGATAGCATAGTAAGCGATTATAGCACTTTTAAGAGGCTTCCAGGGAGTAAATTCAACTAGCTAACTTTGTTGTTGCTTTCACATACTCATTTTTAACACAAGAATAGCAATCAAATAAAGACAGAAGCAAAGAATTGATAAATCGAAGGCTTATATTAAATAATCGGAACACTTTTGTCCTCAAAATAGGTTTTTATACAAATAGAGCCTTCACCGAAAGTACTGTAGTAGTCTCAGCAGTACAAGGTATAATCCTACTAGGTATGCGGGTACCATCTTCTTAAAACTATTATTTTCCACCCTTTTTTTCTTACAAAATGATTTGAGTGTTGCTGCTTATATGTATTTAGTAGATCACCGCTGTTAGACTTTTGACTTTCATGTCTGTATTATAATAACCTATAATAACGCTGTAGAAAAGGGGCAAATGAACAAGACACATAAAAAAGTTAGGCTGAGCACACAGTGGACGAAGAGAAAACGGTGATTGTAGAGTGCATTAAAAGTGAAAAGTGAAGTATACAACTATACCTTCTTCGTATGTTTTTATACTTCTCTTTACTCAGCTGGACAAAATCGGCTAAATAATGACTACTCTTTAAAATACGATTTGTGGCTCAGTAAGATCTAATAAATAATATATTTAAGTGGACTTAAATTACGAATAATTTTTATGCTTCAATTAAAGAATACAAAATTTCGCAATAATAAAATTTTTCATCCGAATACAACCTTTTAAGATGCTTAATTAATTATAAATCTATATAGACACTTACCCTTTCTTCCTCGCGAATCATTTCAGCGATTTCCGGTTTGATCTCCAGCTCATCGTGATGTCCCACCGAGGATGAAATATTTGCTGCACTAGCGGCTCCTGTGCCAGCGGCGCCTGCGCCAGCACCAGCAGCCAGAGAGGCGCCTAAGGCTGAAGCCATAGCCGCATGCGAGTGCGCCGCTGCATGCAATTGATGTTGAGCGGCCAGCTGTTGGGCGGCAGCTGCGGCATGATGATGATGGTGAGGATGATGCGGATGATGTGGATTTACGCCCAAAGCAGCTGCTGCTGCGGCCGCAGCAACCGGATTGGAATGTACATTCAAGGGCATGCCGCTTGCAGTAGCTGCTGCTGCGGCTGCAGCTGGAGAAGACATTGCACCTTTGAGACTGCTAGCCGACGGCATAGATGGTGGACGATATGAGTGACCGGTGGCATGTGATGTGGGTGTGTCTGGTGCAGTCGGTGTTGAGCTGCTAAGCGTTGTTGTTGATGAGCTGGCAGCTGTTGGTGCTGAAGCTGTTGCAATGGCGGACTGTGAGTTGCTTTGATTGGCATTTGCTGCGGCGTTGTTGGTAGTGTTGGGATTTGGCGAAGCGAAAGGATTGCGTACAATGGTGGATGTGGTCACAGCAACGGGTAGTTGTTGTGGAGTAGCATTGGCATCAGCGCCACTTGTTTCGTCAGCAGTAGCGTTGGCTGTATGCGTGTTGGGCTCCGTTGACTCCGCTGTTGGTTGCATTGCGGCATTGCCACCGAAACGTGACATATTACTATCAGTGAAGAGACCATCTCGTGAACGTTTGCGCTGACGCTGTGCAGCCAAATTTAGATCAAGTGCGGCAGCATGTGGGAATACCTTCCCCATTGTGGGATCGAGCATGCGTGCGCGCTTCGGTTTTTGGCAACCATCTTCGGCACTTTCTGTATCCTCATCGCTTTCGGCATCCTCCTCATCATCGAAAATGGTCATGCGCTGTTCGGGCATCATGGGATGTGGTGCGGCCATACCATGGCCACTGCCGGCGCTCACCTCCGCCAAACCGCGTATCTTCAACATTTCGGCGACTTTCAGTAAAGGATTTATCTGCTCTTGACTGACATTGATCTCACCCTTATACATAAACTCCATTATGGCTTTAAGCTCTTCCCATCTCACATCACGCATTATAATTATGGGATGCTGGCAAGGATTATCGTAGAAGAGCGCCTGGAAGTATGGTGAGCAAGCGGATAGCACCATCTTGTGCGCCTTGATGGACTGACCTTCGCAAGCGAGCGTCACATCGACAAAGGACTCATTCTGTAGCAGCTCATCAAAGACATTTGTCAAATTGGTTTGATAGTTGTTCCAGCGCAAACAGAACTGCTGTTGCTGTGAATTTGTTGCCACCGCAGCTGCTGCGGCCAATTGCTTCTTCGACTTCAAGCCAAGCGGCGAAATGGACTTGCGTGCCACTAATGGTGTTGACTGCTTTGTCAACTTCGATATGCGCATTGGCGCCGACAAGCCCGCTGTGATGGGCATATGCATTGATCCATCCAGCCCACGTCGCTGTTCGAAGCCAAACAGCGCAGCATTCATGCGCGTCAAAATCTCTGCCGAAGCTGAGTCCAAGCTGCGTCGATGATGATCGGGCGATGTGGGTAGGGAACGCGACTTGGGTAGCTGCACATCAACGTGCAAATCAGGATCATCATCGAGTGCCGAACTCAAGCCAACTACTTCGCTGGTAGTGAATGGGCGTGGTGGTGGCGTTATATCACCACTAACCACTGCGCCCACAGTCTTGGCTGCTGCAATAGCATTTGTTTCACTGGTTTTGTCAACCGACATATTACTCGCCGTTTCTGCTGACGGCTGCTGCTCCATAGTATCAGCGTGTGCTGGCGCAAGTGTTGTTGTCTGCTGTTCGAGTTGCTGCGCGGCGTGTGCTGTGTTGACGGACGTTTGTTCTGTCACCTCGTTATATGCGTTGGTTGTTGTTGTGATTTTAGCTTCGACTATATTGCTGCCAATTTGAAATGGTGAGGCTGTGGCGCATGCGCGTGTGTTTGCTTCGTTCTCACTGATCTCGGATAGTGGTGATTGATAGCCGGCAATTAAGCGCTCGGCCGTTTCGGTGTGTTTTTGTGTGTAGTCAATAATGTCTTTTGTCATATCCATTTTATCGTCGTTTTTGTTTTGCTTATAGCTTTTGCGGTGTATTTTTTATTCAGTAGACAAATTACAAAGTTTTTAAGCACTTGTTTTCAAGTGTTGCACATTTTTCAAATAGTTTATCGATTTTTCTGCTATCATTTGCTTTAGAAATTATTTTTTTATACTTCTAAATTGTTTCTGTTAAAATAAAGTCAGAAGTTATTTTTATATTACACTAAAATTGATGCCAAATATATATGTTCGCCAGACTCCTACCGTTTTTAAAAGATAAAGAAACCTTCAAGAAAAATATATAATAAATAGATCGACGATATGTGCAACTGTTTGAATTGCAGTGATATGAATTTTTAAATTTTTTTTGTTAAATTAATATATATATATTTTTTTTTGTATTTTAGAAGTTACATGACTTACAATTTATGTATTATATTTTTTACGAAAATAGTGCGCTGCACCGCGTATAATTACTCGAAATTAATTCCGTATCGATTTAAAAATTTGCGCCTTTAAAGTTAAAAATTTAAGTTTTAAAATAGTCGCTTGAAAAATAATTTGATCTACATGTGTAAAAATATTAAAACGAAATTTTTTTTAAGTTAATTACCTAATATTGCTCAAATTTAATTTTCAAATACATTTTTATGTGGAATTTATACTTTTTGCCAAACAAAAATTTCAAGTACTCGCTTGTTCAAAGAAAGGGTTTCTAAATATATGAAAATTAAATAGAAGATATGACATTTGGTTATGAAATTACACAAAAATCCGATTTAGGAAAGCTTTCAAAATCTTTTTTCATACTGCTTTTTCTTATACGTTTTTGAAATCAGTTATATTTAAAAAATAAATATTATTTGCACACATAGTAACAAATGCAACATATTCAAAGCATTACAATTTGAAACAAAAACGCTTTTTCGAAAACGAAATCATTGTAATTTTAAAATATAATTTGTCACAAAAACAAATTATATATTAATTCTCACATTTTTGAAAGAAAACACGTAGTTTGATCTTTTAAACTTAAATAAACCTTTTGTAGTCAAAAAATTTATATATAATTTTTATATTTCAGTGAAAAAATAGTTATATATGAGAGGTTTCTTCCCATATATATATTGAGTTTTAATTTGAAGAGCTATATTTTCAATTTTTAAAATATATTGCGGTATATATGAGATAAGTCATTTATATCTGTCTGTTTAAATTTAAATTTTTGAAACTATCTGTAGTTTTCTGAATTTTCGTTGACTAATTTTAGAAATTAAGTGTTTTTTAAAGAAAAAAAATATTTTAACATTATATTTAAAATAATTTTTGTGTTATACAACAATTTTTTTCAAAATTTAAAAGCTAAAAATATTTTAAAAGAATTATTTTGTTTTAATTTTTTTTAATTTTAATCTAAAAATTTTTAAAATGTTTCCCCCAAAGCTTTATACAATACTGGGAGGAAGTGAAATAATTATTAGAAGACTAAAAGCTATTCGTTTAATTTTAATTGGATTAAAATTATATATTTTTAAAACACTTTTCACTATGTAAATATATACGCATGTATTAAAAAAAAGAATCACATTCAAAGCTCTTTCACTAAATTCATTCTAGCACTAACTTGCGCTACATATGTGCAGCCCGAAAATCAAATTTTGAAAATTCAATATTTTATTTGCAATAAATTATTATTGAAAATATCATACACTCCAACAAAAAACCAAAAAAAGTTAACCCTTAAACATTGGTCGCCAGTTTCGGATGCACATAAAACTTTCTCAAGCTCACAATTTCAGGTAGCGTTAACAACAACAGAAAACAAAAATCTAACAAAAAGCTATAAAAATCATTTATTGAACAGCTACAACAACAGCAGCAACAACCAACCCATAGCTACTTGTGCGCTACGCGAAGGTGTGAACTGTCTGCCAGCTGCGACCGCAAAGGCAAAAGTTGCCGCAAAACACAAAATCGCCTCGAAACACACAAAACCAATACAATTCATTGTATCTCTGTGTATTGAGCTGCTTCTGCTGCTGCTGCAGCTCCACCACCTTCTCGCCCAAGCGCGCCGTAATTTATCTCGAGCACAAGCGTACAAGCAGCACTACGCATTATGTTGCTGAGCTATTGCTGCTGCTGCTTGTGCTGCTGGTGCTGCCGTGCCGTTTGGCCATTTTGGTGGTGTTTTTGTTGCAGCTGTTTTGCTTCGTTATTTATTAATTTTATTTTAATGTTATTTATATTAATTATGTATGTAGCTTAATGTATAAATATACGCACACATACAAACACATACAGACACACGCGCATATATTCGTACATTTGTGCGTACAATTCAAAGCAGTAATTGAGTGTGCGGCAAAGGGTGGTCGCAGCATATTGTAGCGCACAACAAACGTATTTAAAATATACATATGTATGTATATGATGTTTACATGCTGCCGCACATAATTATTTGATATAAATGCATAATATGTATGTAGTTATGTATGTATGTAGAATAACACTGGCACAAATAAATAATTGTGGAGACACATAAAAATAAATTGCTGTTGTTGTTACTGTTGCTTGCCGGGACCACCAAGGCGTGCCATAGCTCGCGTTCGTGGTGCGGTGCGGTGCGGTGTGTTGTCGCGGTTGTTGCTAGCATTACGCCCGTGTATGTCAATAATTTCTTTTATTTATTTATTTTATTTATTTAATTTATTAATGCTGCTGCCGTTTGGGGCGATTCCGCTATGGCATAGCGCAGCTACTTTTCTGCTTTATATTATTTTTATTACTTTATTGCTGTTGTTGTTGCGCTGCTTATTTGTATTGTCAATTTTTTCGTTTTTTATTTATTTTTTTGTTTTCTGCGAGTCCTTTATGTGCGCCACCCTATACAACGTATGTACATATTTATGTTCTTATATAATTATTAATATACATGTTTTTGTAGTTATGTGTGTGTGTCGGGTTGCCTCTACATATATTGCGTTTGTAGCATATCAATATATACATATAAATATAATAAATTGCACCAAAGTTTTGGCAGTTTGTTCGTTTATCTTCTCCTTTGTTAGGCGACCAATTACTGTGGGCACGCACAGTGTAGCAAATACAAACAATTCGTATAAAAATTTATTCTGAGTTTATTATGAAAGAAATTTTACTAAAAAACGTTATATTAACAAAAATTTTGTTTTCACATGAAAGCGAAGAAAAAAATGTATTAAACATAAATTCTAATAGCACAATTAATGCATTCATGCAAGCATTTCGTATACAATTTTTTCTGAACTTTTATATGAAAAAATTTTACTTTAAAAATTGTATGCTTTAACAAAAAAATATTTCATGTAAACAAATTTTATTTCTTTCGCATGAAAATTTTTTTCACATGAAAGCGAAGAAAAAAATTTAAATATTTTTTTATTATAAATATTTGTGAATATTGTTTTAAGTCAGTCTCATTTTTTACACTTCTTGTTCATAAATCCTGATTTTACTCTAAGCTTTATCATTTCTCTAATCGTTTTCTCTATTTATATATTTAGTTTAATACTTCGTAATTCGGTTTCAGATTTTCTTCGAAAATTTTCGGATTTCTTCGAAAATTTTAAGATTTCTTCAAAAAATTCCAGATATTTTTCAAAAAAATCTCAGCTCTGCTAACTTTTAACCAAATCTCAAGAAAGCCATCCAAAATACACATATTCGCTTCACTAATTTATCGCCAGAACTGCTTACTGGTTTCTTCTAACTCTCCCACAAACAAGTTTAATTGTTGACAACACTTCTTTACTAAATATTTACTAAAAACTCTTTATTGTGCTGTACTTGTATACTTCTTTGCCTTTTACACAACTTTTATCACTGTGCCCTCGGTTTGCATCCATTCTGCTTATTCGTCTCCTACACTACCGCCTGCCCAACCATCGCTGTTAATACTAATTAATGTTGCCCCACTCTCACGGCATTGCAACGGACCGCGTCGGAAATCCGACTTACTCATCTTAGCTGCCTCGACACACTCCTCCTTTCTTCTTGGCGCCTTCACAGCCAAAAACGAAGACGATTTTATTTTATTTATATTTCTACTTTATAAGACAGCGTATTTAATGCGGCCTCATACACTCGCCGCCCAGTTGGACTCAAGCCCTTTGTGTGCATACATATGTATGTATTTCCACTGTGTCGCTGCTGAGTAGCTCCTTTGGGTGGCTGGCTGACTAGCTGACTGGCTGGTTAGCTGCGAGTTTGCGAAGATCGTCGTCTTTCGCAGTCTGCGAAGAAAACAAAAGCACACACGCACCGACATAGCTGCGTACAGCACCGACAACTATGTACCATAACCGTTATACTTGTAATAATGAGGCGAGCGTATGAAAGTAAGGACATCCGGCTGTCCTTAACATCAAGGCTGTTATGCTGTGTGTGCTATGTGTCTGAGGCTGAGTCAAGTCTGAGGCAGTAGCAATTTGAGCGCACGTGTGTGTGTTTGTTGTTTGGTGGGTGGCTGGTGGCTGGTGATGGAGCTGGTTTTGGTTTGTAAGGCGCGCGTAAACACGCTTATAATATGCAACAACAACGGCAACAGCATGCACGGTAGCAGCAATAGCAATAAAAAACAATGTGCACAGCAATAAAAACAAAAGGAACCTGCGGAACGACAATGGCAACGCTAGCAACAGCAACAGCAACAACAAAAACAATAACAATAACAACAACAATTATTGTACGAGTAGTACATAAAGGAGCCTGGGTGGCTGGCGGAAGCAGGCGAACAACAACGTTGGCAAACTGAAGTGTAATAAATTAATAAATTACAAATTTGTTGCGCTGCAACGCTGGAAACTTTTTCACTGTTCACTGCTGTTCACAGCTTTTTACTGCTGCGCTGGCTTTTTCTGCGCGCATTAATTTAAGTTTTATTTATACGGTTTTATTACAGCTCTATATATGTATATTTTTTTTTTATACATACATATATTATGTTTTGTTCTGAAAATCGATTTTCGCCGTTTACATTGCGCATAAATAATCACTTTTTCACCGTTTTCTTATAAATTTTTTTTTTTCACGACAGCACAATAATTATGCAGACTTGTCATTCACTTGTAGTTCACTTTTTTGCAACAAACTCATTTATTATATTGTAAATTCACGAGTTATTTCACAGTTTGTAAAATTCACTAAATTATTTTGTTTATACAGATTTTTGTTACAATTTTTTCTTTAACAAATTTTGCTGCGCGCTTCACGGTTGCTAATGTGGCGGCTGTCGCCATACATCACAACGCAACGCTTCGAAAATAAACAGATCGCATCCAACATTTACTTTACTCATTCACAAAATGTGTGCGCGCGGTCGCTTTGGCCGTTCAATCAAAACAGTTGCTGTTCATCAACACAAAGCAAATCACTTCTTCACACACTCTCGTCGCCGTTAATTCTATTCAATTTCAATCAGACGAACGACACGACACAACAGTTGAATGCGAACTGAACTCGCGTACGTGAATTAAACTCAATGTTTGCGGTTGAACGTGGATCCAGTGCAGCTTGCAGCGTCGCCAACAGCGCTGCCCACTCCCCTGACACTCACACCACGCGCGAGCTGCCTGCTTCGCCAATTGGGTTCGTGTGAGTGGCTCGCCGCCAGCTTCAGCACAGCTGTTGTGCCGTGTGCTGGTGTGCGTGAGCACAGGAAAGCCATTTCTTTGCAAGTGTGCGCTCACGCTCTCTCTCTCTCTCTCTGGCTGTGTGCGTGCAATGCACTGCCGGCGCCTAATGCCGCTGCATTTGTGGGTTGCTCTTGTTGTTATTGCTGGCTGATGCCTCGGCTACAACTGCTGCATGCCGCTTTGGGGGTGTGTGTCTGCATCTTGAGGTGCGGACGGCGAATTCGCTGCATTCGCTCTCTGTTTCATTTCCTCATAATTCCGTTTGTTGGCAAAACACCCCTGCTACTTTTGCGACGGCATTGAGATTTTTCGAAAGATGTGTACGTTTGTTCAGCTTAGTTTTTTTGGTGGCAGAGAATAGTCGAAATATTTAAGAGCAGATAATTATAATTGAGCGTTAGCAAGAGAGCATTAGAAATGTTTTAGCAACGATGACCATTTTTTGAACATTTTAACTTGAGTTTTTGTACTTAGCATGTAATAGTTAGCAAATATCTTATTAAGGCAATTTTATAAATGTTTAATTTTCAAAATTCAAACATATGTACACACATATACTACATACATACATACATATGTCATTTTCCGAAATATTATTTAGAAAATAAAATTAGAAAATTAGTTAAAAGCAACAGCTTTTATCGTTTCGTGTGACGCTCTTAACACAACATGTCGTCAACTCAATTCAATATAATTATAATTTTCAAAATTTGCAATAAAATTTTTTAGGTATTTGAAAAAAATGTTAAAATTTAGTTACTAACATATTTTTCTGCTCAGCAATAATTTTCCCCTATTCAATTTTCCCTCAGTTAAATTATAAAATAGAGCTGAAGAGCTCGCAAATTATCAATGTGTTGCAAAAAAATTATAATTGTTTTAATTTAAAAAACTATCTGCAAACAAAAAATTTTGAAAATTTTCGAAGTTAAATTTCGACAACCAAACATTTCCATGAGTACTTTCACTTTCCATTTAGCATACGATCATAAATTGGTGCTGGTTATCTCATTAGTCGAACAATTTTCGAAATCCATAGATTGCCTTCGAAAATATAATACATTCTTCATTTTTAATTTATTCCGTAATTTTCTAGCAAAAGCAAATCTGAAATTAATCAGATGAAGTCTGTAAACAAACCCACAGTCAAGAAAGATTTGAAATGTATATTGATATTTCTTTAGAAGTTATAAATATATATATATATATATATATATATTAAGTTTTCCGACACTTACTGCAAAGTTGATTACACTAACAATTGAAAAAATGTAAAAAGTTAGCAAAGTGTTTTTTTGCCACAATGTTTATAACACCCAGAAGAAATCGTCGTAGTCCCTATGAAATATACTTATGTACATAAAAGTATATATTTATATATAAATGATCAGCGCTACGAACTGAGTCGATTTAGCCATGTCCCTCAGCACATGTGATTGTTTGTATATACTTCAGCTTTCCCTTCAGTTTTTGAGATATCGAACTGAAATTTTACACACGTCCTTTTCTCCCCAAGAATCAACTCATTTGTCGGAACCGCCGATATCGCATCACTATAGTATATAGCTGCCATACAAACTGAACGGCCAAAATCAGGACCTTTTATGAAAAACTTTTTTATTTGACAATCTTCATGAAATTAGACAAGGATTATTTTCAAGACAACGCTACAATTTCCAAACAATTTTTTTTCAAATCGGACCACTATAGTACAAGTATATAGTTAGCTGTCATACAAATTGACCGATTAATATCAAGAAAAAGATCTTCATAAATATTTATCTTTTGGTTCTTTATATCAAACTTCGTGGTTAGGAAGCAGTAGTAAACCGTTGGCCGGTTACGTTTTCAGATTTAATAAAACACATAATTGCTATAAGAGATGCACTTGTGAAGGGTATTATAGCTTCGGTGCAGTCGCGTTTTAGTTTTTTTTTGTTTGTTTTATATTAATTTATTAGATGTTTTTAATTTGGTGTAAATTATTAAATAATATACATATATAAATAAATAAGAAACTTGGTTAAAAGAAAATTCCAACTGTCACGTTTTTGTCTTGGCCTTGTACTTTTTTGTGATCTTTAAACGTAGTTGTTATTATGAAAACTTTGGGCATTAATACATGATACAAGTATATATTGATATAATTATAATATTTTGTTGTTTTTTATACATACTTTAATACTGTTTTTTCTTTTTTTTTGTTTCGAGTAAACCATATAGATAATAATATTCATTGATCTGAAGCTACAAGATGTCAGTAAATATTCGCTCAAATTATTTAATTATAAGCGAAATTTCAACAATTTGATCGATAGTATCGTCTATCGATAAAATAATATTTAGTCTTTATTATTATTATTTTATATGTTTCAATATTAGTTTATTTGCAAGATTTTTGAGACGTATTCTGAATTTTATTTCGATACAATTTTTCGAAATCGAAATAAATTGACGGTTTTTGGGTTCAAAACTGCTGACTCCAATGCAAAACTGTAGCATTGTAGTTTTCAAAAAAATTGAATACAAAACAATTAAATTCGTTCTCAGCTTGTTTTTTTCTTTCGAAGCAAGCCACGGAACATGTTTAATTTTTAAAAACAATTTTTTCGCAATATTATTTTGTTTGTCTCACAAACATCAATTATTTGAGTACAAAGCAACTAAATTATTTTTTATTTTTTGTTATTTTTTTTGTCTTTGGACCCAAAAATCACAGCTACTTGTTTTTTAAAAAACTATTTTTGTAAACTTACTTTAATGCTTATATATTTTAATCTTTGTTCATGTTGTCTTTGAACTAAGTAGATATACTTCCACTTTAATTCTATTTTCAAAACTTTCTTTCCTGTAAACAGCAGTTTTTTTTCAGCCATAGTCAACATTTGCCAATGATTTCCGAATTTCGCGAAATAATCTGAAAAAAATTGGAAAAAATCATTTTATGATTTCAATTAGTCACAGAGTCCACATAATATACGCGTGATATGTTGGCCACCCAATAGCGTATATTTGTATGCATGCAGAAAATGTATGTATGTATATGACTACAAGCTACTATCTAGTATTGAGCATGAGTAAGCTGCTTTATACTTTTATTAATAGGCAAAAACACATATATGTATGTATATATGTATGTATATGCTTACATAAATGCAGATATGTGCATATAAGCGTGTACGAATGTCTCATAAGTCAAAATTCATTTGTATGCAAATTCTACATTGTTGTAGGCTCCACTCGCTGCACCTTTCTCATACAACCAAGCACCTACAGCACAACCAACTGCATGCAAAAAGTAGATTTTATTCATCTTCATCTATGTGTGTGTACATACGTATATGTATGTATGTACATATGTAGATAGTGTGCATTTAAAAACCAGTCAACGGGTCCAACAGCGCCCAGTTTTGCAATGGTAGTTTTGGTAGAGCCGTTTGTGTCCAGCCACCTTCAAGACATTTCCGCAGTTGCAAGAAAGAAAGAGAAGAGCAACAGCGACGAGCGCCACTGCAACGAAAAAAGTCTTTCACTTCCACTTCGTCGGCAATGGCTGTGTGTGGTATCGTTGTCGCTGTCGTCGACGACAACGACGGCAACTACGACGACGACGATGATAGTTTTGCCCATCGCTTGCAAAAAAACTTGCATAATTGTTCTTGTTGCCGATGTGCTGCCGTCTGTTTAGCTATCCAAGTCGTTTATTGTGGACATAGAGTTGGAGAATTGCTTGTGAAAAAGAACAACAACGCTAAGCCACGCCTCTCACAGTGTGCTTGTAGTTGTTGTTGTTGCACATAACAAGGAATGAGTGTACTTTTTATGTGCACTCGACTAACACAACACCTACCAAAGCCGACCTGCTACTGTCGCATTGCCAAGCGTACAAGAAAGTCCCTCGCCCCCGCCCCGCGCAGCACAAACAACAACAATATGTGGTATGGTGTAACCTCGTGCTCTCACATGTATTGTTGTTGTGTTTGTTGTATATGTACTATACAATTGCTTCGCTCATTTGTTCATCGGGCACAGTCGCTCTCGCTCGTTGGCTCTTCTTAACTGCGGCATTTTTGTTGTGCTGGGGCAATGTTGGAGCTGTGAAAAAAGAGCAAAAATCATGTTTGCATATTAACAGTGTGCTGAAAAAACCGTTTCCACAAGTAGCAACAACCACAAGTGACAACAACAAATTCACTTTGCGTTCCCGCAAATGGAGAGAGTGAGCAACAACAAAGCAACAGCATGACGTCACTCGGTAGGCGGCGCTAAAAATGAATTTCCCGTGTTTGGTAAACGAATGTACGAATCACACAGTCGGTGGGGAGTGTGAGCAGCCGTCGGGTAGGGGAAAACTACTAGGTGCTGGACACGAAGGCGTTATAACGCAACGTAGTGTATGTGTGTGTATAACGAATTTTATTGTTGTTGTTGAAACTGGTGGTGCTCGACGTGCAGGGCATGTAGGTGGTTATAATGGACAAATGTGTGTTTGTTGTTGTTATTGTTGTTGTTGTCACCGATGCCACGTGCTCGCTTGTCTCGCAATCAGCAACAACGACAACAACATTCGACTAATATTGTACAACAAAAAGTTTGCGGCAATACAACACCAGCAACAACAGCAATGCATCAGCCAATGCAATGCACTATTGCATATTTATATAATTGTTGTTCTTTTTGTTGTTGATAGTTTTTACACACACACACACAATTGTTGTTGGCATTGCGTAAATTTTCATATTTAAATTCGCTTATATGCGTTGTTGTTGTTGTCGTTGTCGTTGTTATTTCCTGTTCGAATGTTGCAGCCCACTCACCGTTGATTGGCG